TATATACATATATATATATCCTTATACTAACTTCTTTCTCAATGAAAGATATGCCTGTATTCCATTCTAAGGTTAACTCCTTCATCTATGATCTTGTTTGTATTTCTTTTTCCTTCCAGTTGTGAACTTGTTTGAGATTTCCCACAGCCGTATTTCCCAAATTTGAACAGGCATCAGCATCCCCTGGAGAGTCTCTGATTTATGGGGCATGAGAAGGTCCCAGTGATGCTGATGCTGTTTTATAGACAGCACTTGAGATTTGCTGTAGATACCTCAAATTCAGATGGTACAAAACCAGATTTATTGCTTTTATATACTCTCCTCCCTACTCCCAACTTTTTCCTCCCACTCTCCTCTTGTACCGGTTAATGGCATCACTGTTTATTCAGTTGGCTAAAAAACCTTGGAGTCATTCTTAATTTTTCTTCACCTCCCTCACCACCTATAATTAATTGAGCGAGTCCTACTGATTCCAACTGGGAAAATCTTTTGAATTTTATCCTCTCTGCTCCCACTTTCCAGGGCCTTCTTTTCTCTCACTTAAGCCTTTGTAATAGAGTACTGGTAGTGCAACAGTTAAGTGCTCAGCTGCTAACCAAAAGGTTGGCTGTTTGAACCCACCCAGCAGCTCTATGGGAGAAAGACCTGATGATCTGCTCCCATAAAGATTACAGCCTAGGAAACCCTATGGGGCAGTCCTATTCTGTCACATGGGGTTGCTGTGAGTCAAAAATCAACTCAGCGGCACCTAACAACAACAGGGCTTTGTTGTTATAGTAACAGACTAATTATTGCCCCTGTCTCATCTTTCTCTTCCTCAAATTGTTCACACAGCTACTCGCATTGTTTTTCGAAAGCACAGATCTGATATGGTAACTTCTTGGATTTAAAATTTTTTGGTTCCCCACTGCCACATGATGAAATCCAGAATCATAGTGGGCTTAGCAGTTGTCTTAGGCTGGATTCTCTAGAGAAGCAAAACCAGTGAAGAGTATGTATATATAGAGAGAGAGGAAGAGAGAGAGAGATTTATCTCAAGGAAATGGCTCATGCGGTTGTAGAGGCTGGCCACTCCCAAGTCCATGAGCCAGGCATCAGGCTGGAGGCTTCTCCTGACTCATGTAGCTGCAGGGGCTGACAAACCCAAGATCGGCAGGTCAGACAGCAGGGCACTGGCTCACAGGCTGCAGAGGCCGATGAATCCCAAGATCTGCAGGTAAGCTGCTAGCTCAAGTCCGAAGAACCAGAGGTCAGATTATGATAAGCTAGGTGCAGAATCCAGAGTGAGAGCCTTGCTAAAACATCCATTTATATACTGGAGGCAGGCCACACCCCCAAGGAAACACGCTTTCAATTGACTGGCTGCTCATAGAAGATCTCATCATGGAGTTGATTATATCATTACATAACTGCCAAATTACATCATTACATAACTGCCACACTACATCATAACTGCCAGACAATTGAGAATTATAGCCTCGCTAAGTTGACACACAACCTTAACCATTATAGCAGTCAAAGTTGCTTACCTCTAGTGCCTTCCTGTGTATCCAGCATTATCGTCCATCACACTGTCAGTGTGCTGGCTAAATTGAACTTGTTCCACAGCAGACACACGCCTTCCTATCTGTTCTTCCCTCTTCCTGGAGTGCCCTTTCACTTGGTTTAAGTTGTTGTATGCCATCAAGTCAATTTCGACTCATAGTGACCCCATGTGACAGAGCAGAACTTCCCCATAGGGTTTTCTTGGCTGTAATTTTTACAGGAGCAGATTGCCAGGCCTTTCTCCTGCAGAACCACTGGGTGGGTTCGAATTGCCAACCTTTTGATTAGCAGCAGAGCGCTTAACCATTACACCACCAGGGCTCCTTAGAAGTAGCCCAAATGTCACCATTGTAAAACCTTCTCAGACTCCTCCAGCAGATTTAATTGCTCTCTCCTGTGTCCTTATTGATTTGGTTTTTCACCCTCTATACAAGAAACTGTAGCAATGTATGGTAATTACTTACTTATCTCTTTCCCCTTCCAACCTTGAGCTTGTTAGGGAAAAGAACTGGGCCTTATTTCTTCCATATAGTCCTAGTACAGTTGCTGAATGAACATCACCCATGGAGAATGTCCTTTTGAAGTTTGTAGTAGCACATAGGACAGTTTCATACTGTAGCTACCTATCAGAGACCTCAGACCTATTTGGTATATTTAGCTTCTAGTTCTAAAATTTTTAGAGGTTCCTCAATCCATTGAATAATAGCCTTAAGATACCAGAAAAACTTAGACATTGTCAACTCATTCTTAATCTTCTCTTGAATTACAGACTTCAGCGGGAGGAGGAAGAGGCCTTTGCCAGCAGTCAGAGCAGCCAGGGGGCCCAGTCCCTCACATTTTCCAAGTTTGAAGAAAAGAAAACCAATGAGAAGACCCGCAAGGTTACCACAGTGAAGAAATTCTTCAGTGCTTCATCCAGGGTTGGATCAAAGAAGGGTAATTTTCTGGTTTTTTTTCCCCAACACTTCTCACTTTATTTAACGTATGTCTAGGGTATGTGACCTATCTTCTTGTTTTTTCTTATTGTACTTTAGCTTCTCATTAAACAGTAAGTACACATATTGTTTTATGACAATGGTTAGCAACCCCACAACATGTCAGCATTCTCCTTTCTCGACCCGAGGTTCCCTATTACCAGCTTTCCTGTCCACTCCTGCCTTCTAGTCCTTGCCCCGGGGCTGGTGTGCCTCTTTAGTCTCATTTTGTTTTATGGGCCTGTCTAATCTTTGGATGAAGGGTGAACCCCAGGAATGACTTCATTACTGAGCTAAAAGTGTGTCCGGGGGCAATACTCTCAGGGTTTGTCCAGTCTTTGTCAGGTCAGTAGGTCTGGTCTTTTTTTGTGAGTTAGAATTTTGTTCTACATTTTTCTCCATCTCTGTCCGAGACCCTCTATTGTGATCCCTGTCAGAACAGTCAGTGGTGGTAGCCAGGTACCATCTAGTTGTACTGGACTCAGTCTGGTGGAGGCCATGGTAGTTGTGGTCCATTAGTCCTTTGGACTAATCTTTGCAAAGAAGGGTAGTTTTCTGCTACTCTTGTTTCTTCTACGTGTGAGTGAGATGCAGACTACCATGGATCTCTAAAGCAAGTGGGCTGAGCATTCTCATTTCTGTCAGCTTTCAGGGAACACCAACCCAGATTTGAGATAGAAATTGAGTCTGAGGGTCGACAATATTTGAAACCAAAATGCCTTTGGTTGGAGAAGATTATGTTTTAGAGAAGCTCGTTTAGGTTTTTTACAGGAGGAATAAAGAGAATTGAAATAATGTAGTCTTGTTTATAAAATTCATTCCCGCAAAAAATGGCTGTTTTTTTGGATGTTTTATTTTTTTGTGCCTTTATTTTTTTTTTAACCCAGTTCATTCTCCTCTGTATAATATCCCCACTTTCTATAGCTTATCCGAAATGCTGTTTTCTAGGCTTGAAGTCATCTGAGAGAAAAGTTTTCTTTGTGAGAGCTTGTTTGAGAGACAACTTGTGTTTTGAGGAAACACAGGGAACATATAGGGAAAGCCTCACTTTGGGCTCTTGTTGGGTGCCATCGAGTCAATTTTGACTCATAGTGACCTCATGTGACAGAGAAGAACTGCCCTATAAGATTTCCTAGGCTGAAATCTTTATGGGAACAGATCACCAGTCTTTCTCCCCTGGAGCCACTGGGTGGGTTTGAACCGTCATCCTTTAGGTTAGCAGCCGAGAGCTTAACTTTTGCGCCACCAGGGCTCCTTTTTGGGGTCTTAGGAAGGATGAAAGTAACTCAGAGTAGGTATTTCTAGTACATGAATGTGTATGTACATGACCTTATTCCTCCTCCTTAAAATGCCATAGAACCACCAAGAGGAGTGTCACTAAAATGACAGATGTTCCATTACTTAGTCCCACCAGTGAGCAGGCAAGCTAGTTGAAACGGCGTAGCATGAAGCAAGAGTCTCTGTTGTTAGGGGTCAGTCTCTGAGCCTCTATGCTGATACTTGTCAGAGTTATACAGTAAACTTGAAACCGTGGGGCAGACCCGGAACCAGTGCGGATACACTGGGAAGAGTGCCCCCTACTCTCTGTAATTGCGTTGAGGTTTTTGGTCTGCATAAACGCAGGGACTAGAGTCCCTGGGTGGCGCAAATGGTTGAGTGCTTAACAGGCCTGGCAATCTACTGCTGAAAGGTCACAGCCTTCAAAACCCTATGGACCAGTACAACTAGATGGTGCCCGGCTACCACCACTGACTGTTCTGACAGGGATCACAACAGAGGGTCCCAGACAGAGCTGGAGAAAAATGTAGATCAAAATTCTAACTCACAAAAGAAGACCAGACTTACTGGCCTGACAGAGACTGGAGAAACCCTGAGAGTATGGCCCCTGGACACCCTTTTAGCTCAGTAATGAAGTCACTCCTGAGGTTCACCGTTCAGCCAAAGATTAGACAGGCCCATAAAACAAAACGAGACTAATGGGATACAACAGCCCAGGGACAAGGACAAGAAAGCAGGAGGGGACAGGAAAGCTGGTAATAGGGAACCCAAGGTTGAGAAGGGACAGTGTTGACATGTTGTGGGGTTGTCAACCATTGTCATAAAACAATATGTGTACTAACTGTTTAATGAGAAACTATTTGTTCTGTAAACTTTCATCTAAAGTACAAAAAAAACAAAAAAAACAAACAACCCTATGGAGCAGTTCTACTCTGCCATGACTTGGAATCGACTAGACAGCAACTAACAACAAAATGCAGAGAATGAATAATAATATTAGCCCTTAAGATCCTTGCTGGTGTTTCTAATTTAGTGACTATTGCTCTTTTGTTTGATTAAAAGGAAAAGCTGCTTATCACCAAAACACAGCACTCCTCTTTAAGACATTCACACCTTTACACAGTCTTCTCTTTGTTCACATGATTAATTTGGAGTTGTTTCTTGGTTGGTTGCCAGTCGTAGGTATTTTCTCTCTGCTGTGATAAGGGGAATTATACAATGACTAAATTAAGACTATATTTGGCTCCTGATTTACCTGTTAGGAGGTAGTGTAGCGGGTTAAAAAGCATAGGCTTTTGAGTCATTCCTGGTTTGAATTCCAGCTCTGCTGTGTGACCTTGGGCAAGCTAATCTGGCTGATCCTGTCTATACCAAGGGACAGTAATACCTCTCATAGGCACATGGAGAGGGTTAAATGAATTGATACGTGTAAAGAATTCAACACAAAGTCTGCCACACGTAGTATGTCTCCAGTAAGTGTTACCCATTGCCATCCGGTCGATTCTGTCTCATAGCGACCCTACAGAACAGAGTAGAACTGCCCCATAGGGTATCCAAGGCTGTAATCTTTACGGAAGCAGACTGCCATGTCTTTCTCCCACAAAGCAGCTGGTGAGCTCTAACCGCCGACCTTTTGGTTAACAGCTGAACACTTAACCACTGTGCCACCAGGGCTCCTTCCGATAAGTGCTTAACACTTACTATTCTGATAGAGTAATATCTGTTGGTAAGGAGTTCAAGGTTATTGATCAAAGCCATGCATTCTTATTTAGCTTAAATTCTGTTACTTCCTTTGGGAAAGTTTCCTTAAACTTATGAAATTATAATATATAGTGAAACGATATGTATTTATGAAAACTATAAAGCCATCTGCTCTGTCTCATTTTACAGATAACAATATGAAAGCCCAGAAAGCTTAACTGATTTAACCAGGGTCACTTAATGGGTTGGTATATCAGAGCTTAGGTCTCCTTACTCCTGGTTCAATTTTTTTTTTCCATTATATTCCTTTGCTTCAAATTTGTGTATAACTCAGAAACTCAGTGTGTGTGTGGATGTGTGTATAAATCATGTCCTTTGATCTTCTGGAAGATGAGAGTTATATTATGGAAAGAAAATATATAATCCAATGCAAAGTCCATACTTGAAACAACTCCAAGTGATTTTTATTTAAAAAAAAACTTATTAGCACCAAATAGTTTTTACCTTTTTTGTATTTACGGATTTGCCCCTTAGATTTTTTTGCTCTTTAGTTGTTTTTTTTTTTTTTTTGTCTGTAGAAAGCTTCTGGGGTAAAGACCTCAGAGTATTTAACAACTTGATGTGTGTGTATTACAAAAGAGGAAGTTATTGGATCTTTGTTTCACAGGTTGCTGTGTCACTTTGCCAGGTGAACTTTGCATTGCAGACTGGATTATTTGTTGGCCATTGTTTGTGGAGCAGGTTAGCTTGTACTAAGTGCAATTTTACTTTACTGGATCTAGAGTAGAAATAGACTCTTTGTATTCTGTATTCTTTATCTTACTCCCTTAATACATGAAGCTCTTGCTCTTGATATTTTACTTGCTTCTATTAGCAGCTTAAGCGAAAGAGCTTAAGCTGGGGCATCTTGGTAGCAGACAAAGCAAGTAACCTTCCAAGGGTTTTGAAGAGTATTTTAACATCCTGTCAGAGTTGGATGCCCCTTCAGAGAAGGTAAATGGAACAGCTTGACTGTTTATAAAGACACAAAGTTTACTTTTAGTTTTTTCATCTCCAAAGTAAGGTTGAGTCACCTGTAGCTTATAGAGTAAATCACAGTGGTTCAGCCAAACTGAAATAATTGTTCACATATTCCAAAATGCCCTTTTCCTTTAGAGTTCAAATAGTTGTCACCCTGAGTGGAATCTTTGTGTGCCTCTTTTACTAACTCATCTGAAGATGATACTCCCAGGAGGAATATCTTTTCCTTTTTTAAGATTCAGATACTCATTTCTCCACCCAAACCTTAGATTCTAAATGCTATTTCTCACTAAAATGAACCAGGACTCCTTGCAGAAACGACTGATTCCAGGGATGGAGCAGGGAAGGAAGGCCCCCCCCGCTGACAAATGTTGGGGGCATGTCAAAAAGACTCAGAAGCTAGTTTGAAGGAGTTTCCACCAACCAAATCTGGGACCGTTTGAGTATCAAAACAAGTAACGACAGTAATGGAGTACAACTAATTGAATAAAACAATACTCCTTGAGCCCATTCCATTAATAAATAAATAAATAGGGGAGAAGAGAAAGCTTTTCTTTACCATAGAATCCTAACTAATAAATATAGAAGGAATGATGAAGTTAGAAAATCAAACATTTGCAATCATCACAGTAAAAACTGATACAGGCAAATTTCATCCAGATATGAAATCTGGAGTGAAGGGAGGGAGTTTCCTGAGGAACGAGTTGTGCTCTAATATGATCTTCCCACAAAGGATTTATTATCACAGTAGAGAAGTGATTATAAAATGATGGGGAAAACAGACATCATGTGCCTCCAGATATGATACTCTGAGAAGAAAACATTACTTATATAGTATTTCAGCTGAAAATTTATAACCCAAGTCTGGTCATGAGGAAATAGCAGAGAAACTCAAATTGAGTGGCATTACAATATAACTGGCCTATATTCTTCAAAAAAGAGTTCTTGGATGGCGCAAGTGGT